AGAACCTGGCTATGGGCCTGAGCATGTGTGTGGACACGATAAGAAGAACTTTGTTCAACTTTAGTTTCAGTTTAAAATATGTTTATATAATTTATGATGCACTACACATACAGTACAGTATGCTTTTGAAAAAATTCTACAGCAAGTAAAATATATTGATGGAAAATTTTTGTTTGATACAGTTATAACCTTTGTACAAATATATTGTCATTTTTGTTAGTAGTTGAGTGATCAGTATTTTGGACAATAAGTTGATCTGCTTCACTGCATTCAAGATGCTTAGTGGAGTCTGTTCAAACATTTTGATGGGAATAACCCAACATGCACCTAGAATTCTTGACAAAACAACAAATTTATTCATCCCTCGAGAAAGAGATTTTTCTTGATTAAATATAATTGATTTAAGTAGTCCATGTTTTTAAACAAAATATTGCAATCGACCTTTTTCTGCCAGTGCACTATTATTATGGAACCAGCTCCTAATATTTATTACAACGTCCTTGACTATGTTTTAAGGCGTGAAACTCCATCTTTTCAAAATTTAACGTCTTTTCTTATTCATTACATTTGTGTGTAACAGCGCTCTGAGAGATGACTACAGTGTACTATATTAAGAGCCTATATTACTAATTATATTATTATTATTATAATTATTATTATTATTATGGTAGGAAATTGTAGGAAATGTCAGAATAGTTACTTTCTGAAAAAAAGTGTATTTTTAGACGATTTTATTCATCAGTGGTGGTAACTTTGCGTTCTAGGGTATCATATTACAAAAAACAACAATATTTCATATTTTTAATTACCCTAATCATTAAATAAATTAAAATTGCAATAACAATTTTTAACAACAATTTTTGACATTTTCTCGAACATTTAGTAAAAATACATGCACAAAATACTGCATATACGATTTAAAAAAAATTATTGTTTGTATTTTCATAAGTCTCAGGAAATATAATCTACAGAAGCATTGATGGCTGATTGATTGTGACTGCAAATTTCACTTTTGTAACACTCTGACCTCCAGGGGGTTAAAAAAAATATTATCAGCCACTGCCAGACAGCAAATATGAACACTATTCAGAAGCTTGTTGATATTGCGCATGTGATCAGATTCACATGTAGTGAATACTACAAGAACTACAAACATTTTAACTTTACAATGGTACCGTCCAAACACTTTATTCTAATCACAATCTGTGACCCATAACAGTAAAATGAATATGACCCACTTTTGGAGATTTACGCAATTTCGCACCAGGAAGCTGAGATAATCGCGATTTTGTAAAAGTAAATCAATACCGCTCTACGCTAATGTTAAACAAACAAATAGTGAAATACTTACGGTCTAGACTGAATATAGTAGTTCAAATTGTTAGTACATGTAGGTAATTACCCCATCTAGCGGATTCCGTTAAAAAACCTGAAACATGGAGATCTCCGTGTTTGGCAGTCAAGTGTTGCGTTACCAAACACGTAAATCTCCGTGTTTGGCGGGCAGAGTGTTAAGCGATTCTAGATGCATGTTACAACAGTTACAATTCAAGCAACAGGATTTCATGATACGGAATCTCTGGTGATTATAGGCCTACTTCAAACACAAAGCAAGAGGCTGTACCATTGTTTTTACACAGTTACATATAATGATCCCACGTACTGATATAACACTACGTGTCTATTACATGGCTTGATTTAAATAATGTCCAAAATTTATTTTTGTATAAAACCAAATAAATAAAAAACTTATTAAGCATCCCTACCATTCCCCGATTTCTGAACAGCCTCTGATATACTGTGCCAAGACGGGCAAGGGATAGCTTTTGGATACCGGGAGACAGGAATAGATCTTTTCAGATACTTTCTGGTAGTAGGCCTGCAAATTTAAGCATGACCTTTCTATATATGTGTAGATAATGTAATAGCGAAGCATTTTTTACCACACCTTTTCCGTTAGATACACTTTGACTATCCTGATCACCCATCAAATCACCCATCAGATCTTTTAAGTTTGTCTTAAAAGAAAAGCCAACCAACACCTCTTAATTCTGTCTGTACTATTTTAAATCCTTCATGCACCAATGGGCTTTAAGGATTTTTCCTATCCCTACGTACGCAGTCCCTAAAATTACAGTACGGACCCACATTGTCTGGAAAGTTGGCCATGGCTAAATAATTCTGTTTTGGTTGTCAGCCCAAAATGTTTAGAATTGCTTTCTCAGAACCAAATATAAATGGCCCAAAGTTTTTCCGGTTACCAAAGGCCATGAATAATACCAAGTTTTGAAATGTAAACACCAATGCCAAATGCTATTGTGAAGGAATATTGTATGCTGAATAAGAAGTGGAGTAAAATCAATTCAATTCAACCTTTTATTTCTGTAAAAACCAGTTAGGGGTTGCTAACCCAGAGGTGACGGAACTAGGGGGTGCTGTGTTATGGAGAGTAATGTGTGACTGGAAATGGTCTGCAGTCAGTTGGTTGTTACCATGCGCCAGTGATGTTGGAGTATATAGTACAGCAATTTGAAACTATTATGTAGGCCTAATGAATGAAAGTTCGGAGTTTGTCGGGTAGTGAAATTATTATTTCACATTTTAAGTGCTCCCTAAATTCATAAGTGTAAGCTAACTTACGGTGATTAATTTAATTAGCGAAGATATGGAGAAAATTATTTCGAATCCCTCTTTCCAAGAGGGGATGCAAATGCTTTGTGAAAATGAGTACGCCGCGGTACTCATTTTCACAAAGAAATACACACAACTGGTTAGCTGCGGGGGGACGATGAGGCATAAGACTATAGGCCTAGGCCTAACAAGAGACAGTGAAATTATATGTGATAGAAAGTACACTTTCGGAAGAAATAAATTAAAATAAGAAAAAAAAAATAACTAAGAATAATTCATTTGCAGAGGTACCTTATTTAGGCCTAAGTATTATACAATGCTAACAATGCGGCCCTTGTACTAGCCCTGGCTTCGGCAAGGCATCCATGTGCAACGCAGTGGTGTTTGTTTATCCATGAAAAAAGCACGCCGGGAAAGTTTGCCTTACCAGGAAAAGGTGACATATCTAGCTTATGACGTATGCATGCTAACTATGTGAGTGTGACGTCACCAAAAAATGAATATTTTCTATTATAACCAAAATATTAATAACTACAAAGTTTCTGGGCGTAAATTCCCTTAATATGAATGAAGGGTTGCTCAATCTCCTTGCCATACAAATTACAGCTCCCACTGACGTCTCAGTCGAGAAACATGGGTAACTGAAGTTTTTCTCGCAAATCTGACTACAAAACCATATCCAAATTTCACGTTCCACTTTTGACCCTGAGTTGTCCTTCGCACTCGCCGCTGAGGGCGGCGTTCCGGGAACCCTGCGTCTAGCTAATAATATTATAAGAACATTATATTACACAGCCTATGTAAATACGAGTACGTGATTGGTCGAAATGGCATCACATGACTAGCGCTACGAGGATCGGAAACGTTATATTTCCCTGTAGGGAAATATAACTTTGAAAAGTGACCGGTCTCTGACGTCACCGGATTACACCTGCATTGCGCCCGTAGAATGCTAGTCGAAAGCGCACCAAAGAGTATACTCTTTGAGTGCACGATCGATCGCTCACAAATTTTGTGAATGTGGAAAGCCTAGCACTTCGAAAATGGCGACTTCAGATAATTTTAAATCTCTCGACGAAGACGAATTGGATAGAATTATTGACGAAAAGGATTCTCGGTGTACAAAATTTGTTGTTAATTCATCCGTTAATGTAGGCCCACTCAGTGAATATTGTAAGGACGAGGAATCATCAAATTAGGCCTAGGCCTCCTATACTTGCATTGAAAATTTCACAGCAACGGAGCTCAACGAGTTACGTTTCTCCGGTCATTCTACGCTGAGGTAAGGAGAGCAAATGGTGAATTGTAGGCTAAACGATCAATGATAACGCTACGTTACAGATTACAACAGAAACATTTTAAAAAGTTACAGTAATATGAAGTATTTTGGCTATGTAATATGACAGATATTGTGTAAAAGTTAAATAAAAGTTCTTGATATTTAAAGTAATGTGATATTTAAAGTAATGTGTTCAGTGATATCAGGGATATCAAATGTTATATTACACCTCTAAGCAGGCAATATCTGTATAATAACAACTTTACAGTTTGGTGATAAAAATGTTATTTTGTAGAACCATATGTACGTACTTAAAACCTAATTTCACGTTTGAACATTCTTACAATGTTGTGCGAATTTTATTTTGTTAAATACCTAACGTTATAAGGACGTTTAGTGTTTGCTGGGAAGAACCCCTAGGAGAGGTCCTGGTGGATAACCCCCCCACCCCGGAACTTATGACAGTACCGTTATATATATTTGAAGGTTTAAATTTTAATAATTTTTAGATCCTAACAGTTTGTTAAAAATACATACTGCATAATTTTTTTCTCTCCCTGAAAAAATGTATTTTTCTCCCCCAATGATGGGCCCCGGCCCCACTTGCACCACCCCTGAGACAGAACAATAATTATATCAAATCTCCCTTTCTCTGCCTTGCACAACAAATATAAATCCTCATTTGGTATGCCTTTAGAATAGATGTTCCCAGTATCCCTTGCGCAATTTTACATCTCGCTGTGAATTGATTTTCCTTGCACAAGGAATATCCTAATAGCACTAATTTTGACCCCTGGAAATATTCATGAGGTCAAAAGTCAGACCTGAATGTATGTGAAATATAGGGGAAAAAGCAATGTACTTTTACCTTTTGCATTTCCAACGCCTTTTAAAATATAAATAACAATTCTAGTACGTTCGTACGGTTTGTTTATAAAGCCCTAGGTAATATTCACTAGGCCTAGCAAAGAAGGCAAAGCTTGTGATCTCAGCGAGATAGAGAAGCCCTTCCCGTAGCTAGCTACAAGGGTGAAGAACGTCCTGATCTTGTGGTTGCATGCGGTAGGCTTAAAAGTTTAGAAAGCATTACCTCTTCCTTGGGTCCTTTATCGGTGAAAGCTGTTTCTTTGTCATCATTTACATCGAGTGCATGGTACTCCGATGACCGATCATTTTCTTCAGATGCTTTAGATGTCATTATACAAATGAAATGAAGATTTTAAAGGAGTGATTTGTTTATATAATACGAACACACCAACGTAGCGCATGGTTTGTTTAGACAGCTTGCTCTGCTCTTCACTTCGCTGTGTTTACAAATGATCTCTACTCGCTTCTTCGGTCTCTGATCTCTGTGATGGATTGTCAACAAAATACAGCAACATGATACTGTGATTAGCATGGTTTGAGGAAATCTTTAGAGATGGGGGGTAAATCAAGAGGAAA